GCAACTTAAAAAACAAAAGATTTTTAAATGAAGAAAATCAGAGTACTCACTGAAAAAAATCAGTTTCTTACATTTCAAAACGCAGAATATGAATTTTCAAAATAGTTAAAAACTTTAACAAACTTTTAACACAAATTAAACAATCCAGCTGATGGACTCATGATATAATAATTATAATCACAATAGTATTATTAACAATTTAATTGAACGCCAGCAATTCTGTTACAAGCCATCTCTAGGTATGCTTGATTTTCTGCACTCAGTAAACACTATTTCAAACTTCATTATTCTCAAACCTCAAATATCCCACCTTCCCCTCTCCATTTCAACAGATAATTGTATAATAATTCAGAGAGAACACAGGATATCACTCAACTCTAGAGACCTCCATTAACCTCTTAACATCTACAAATGTTTTCATCTCTGTACCTAACCTATCCTAACAGTTCCAAAGTTTTCTTCTTGAAGTCAATTACTACACCTACATACAATGTCCATTCAACCTTCTAAGAAATCTTGCATGACTGTTCTTTTCTTTCCTGAGTAGTCAATTTCCTCTCTCTACTCAATTTTTCCCATTAACACTTACATGTGGCTAAAATTTCTCCCGCCTTAAAAAACAAACTCCTTTATTTCAATTATCATGTCAGGGCTGATCGTTATCAAGTGTACATTTATGGTCAATGCATGCGAGTTCTAGACCAATTTATATTAAGGTATAATTTGGTGTTTGAAATGCATGTTAAAGGCAACATAGCCACAGAATTCACAAGGTCCCAGCTAAACTGCCAATTCCTATTAAACACACACACACACACTACTTGCTTGCTTTTTTTCCATTTTGTTCATGCTGCTACCATTATGGATCTAGGTATAAAAGCCAGAAACTTGGGAGTAATCCCCATTATCTATTCTATTTAATACAGTGGTTCTCAATCAGGGGGAATTTTGCCCCCTTACCCCCAAGGGAAATTTGACAACCTCTGTAGACATTTCTGGTTGTCTTAACTGTTATAGTACCTAAATGTTGATAAACTATCCAGGTTCCACTTCCCAAAATAAAATTTAAATCCAACAATTCTCTTCATTAACTACTACAACTTCCTAATTTTTAAAGTACTATATTACTTTTCATCGCGAATACTACAATTTCCCTACATCCATGCTTGTTAAACTTCATACAATGCAGTCAGAATAATTTTTATTCACCTCTCCTTCCTGCTACAGAAAACCCTGAATAACTTACCACTGTTTTTAGGCTGAAGACTAATATGACATAAAATTCTTGCATATTTTCCTTTTTCCCACCCTTTTTAACACACTTTACTCTCCCCATAATCAGCCAATCTATTTAACACTGTAAATTATGTGCATTCACTAAAGTGAATTATGTGGTCAAATTTACTAAAACATGTCTCTTAGTTCATGTACAGAAATAGTTCTAACACTCAAATATATATATATAGGTATATAAATACATGCAAAAACAGAGCTTTTAATACCTATCCCTAATACTTAACATGGGTCTACCTACATACTTATATCAAAGCCCATGAAAGATTATTGCAAGTGAATTGGTCTTACTTGATTTATACAACAGGCTTTCACATTATAGCATTACAAATGATCTTTATAATGTGAAAACAAGAACAGAGAATGAAGAAAAGGTAGAATGTCAGATAAATGGTAACAAAACAAACCAAGTTAATCATTTCCCATTTTATTTTTTTTCCCTCCCTCCTACAGGTTTTACTTTTTATAACTGTAAGAAAGAATGACAGACTCTTTTCCAGTGCTGGGACAACTTAATAGCGAAAAAATTAAGCTGTACTCCCCCCTACATTTCACATTACAAATAAAAATCAAAATGGACCAAAGAACTAAATCTTTTGAGTTATACTATAAACTCTTGAATTAAGGCTTTATTTTATTTATGTATTCCTTGGTTGATGGACGTTAGAATTGTTTCCACTTTTTGGTTGTTAGGAATATCTACAAACAAGTTTTGTGTGAAAAAAAATTTTCATTATTTCCTTGAATAACACACAGAAATTAACACATGTGAGCTTGGATTAAGCAATGATTTCTTAGATATGACTCCAAAAGAAAAATAAATTGGACTTCATTAACATAAAAAGTTGTTTGCTTCTAAGGACACTAAAAAAGTAAAAGGACAAATCACAGAAACAATATATTTGCAGATCATGTATTTGAGTCTAATACCCAGAATCTAGTATCCAGAATAGAAAAAACTCATACAAGTCAATACTTAAAAAAAAAAAAGGGCAAAGGATCTGAGTAGACAGTTCTCCAAAGATATTCAAATAACCAACACACAAATGAAAAAATGCTAAACATTGTAAGTTATTAGGAAAACACAAATCAAAATCCTAAGATACCATTTCATACCACTAAGGTGGCTAAAGTTAAAAAATCAGATAATGGCCCTCCCTGTTGGCACAGCAGGTTAAATCACAGCACTAAGAAGCTAGAGCCACTTCAGCATGAGTTTGATCCCTGCCCCGCAGGTGACCCACATGGCGTGGCAGACCTCTCCTGACCCCCCACTGCTCCCCTCAGCAGTGTACTTCATCAATCTGCCTATTCTGCTCCCCACTCTGTCTCTAGTAAATTCTCTCACCGCCCCTGCACCTCTGGCGTGTACCCCAGTTCTGTATGCACAAATAAATATTAAAAAAAAAAAAAACAGATAATAAGTATTGCCAAAGAGGTGGAGAAACTGGAATATTTATACATTGCTGATAGAAATGTAAAAGGATAAAGCAATTTTAGAAAATACTTTGTAAGTTCCTCAAAATGTTACTTCCATAATTCAGCAATTTAACTCAGAAATTTTATGTGCATGTGCATATACCTACGTGTGTGTGTGTGTGTGTGTGTGTATATATATATATATATATATGCACACCCAAGAGAAATGAAGTCATTATTTCTGTTTGCAGATAGTCCTCACAGCCAAAAAGGGGAAACAATTCTAAAGTCCATCAGTCAAGGAATACATAAACAAAATATAGCCTTAATCTAATAATTTCCCTAGATCCATGCTTGTTAAACTTCATACAATACAGTCAGCTATAAGAAAGAATGAAGAACTGATACTTGATATAAACAAGGACAAACCTTGAAAACATGCCAAGGAAAAGCAGCAAAACCGCAAATTATATGACTCCATTTATATGAAATGTCCACAACAGGAAAATGCAGAGATGAAAAATTAGATAAGTGGTTGCTAGGGGCCAGAGGAAAGGCAGGCCAAAGGGAGCGCAGTACAACTAAAGAAGGAAGGAGCAAGTGTTTTTTTTTTTTTGCCACAACATTTTCTGTGCAATTACTACATTTCAGACCTACACTGATTGCTAGCAACCCAAAAGTTGAGAAACGCAAAGTCACTATAGCTCTCTTCAAGCTCATTCTCCAAGCCCCCAAACGTATTTCTCCAAAAAAAAGTGTCTTTTAAACGTGCAAAATCCACAAGTATAACCCACAGACAAGGCAAGAGAATGCAAGTATGTACACTGCAAACAATTCTAAGTAATCTGAATCTTTTTTTTAAGAAATCACTAGATAAGGAGGAAAAGATATGCTTCTAATACTGGTGTTAAGTAACTTACTGTTCCTCAATGCCCATTTTATTCAAGAATTATTATTTACAAAGCTTCATTTATTTAAAATATTATTTATAATTTTTTCTTTTTTTAAATTTTATAAGTTTATTTTTACATATTTTTGTGCATTTTTCCATCTCAGTTTAAATAAATGTTTTTATTAAATTTTCTTGATTGATGGGAACTTTAAGAATGGAAGGTCTCACAAGGACAAACATCAGGGGTGGGTGTAGGGAGGATCTTAACTAAACCAACTATGGAAGATTCCAGGAATCTTAGGTGGGGTCAGAAAAGATTATCAGCCACAGGTGGGAGCAGAGAGGATTACTGATTTTAGAAGACCAAACCAATCTGACCCCCAAGTGGTAAAGCCCACAATAATTCCATCAAAGAACATTATAAAAGACCGCCCCTTGCCCTGGAAAAATTCAGTTCTTATTCTTTAAGACTGCCTGCCTGTGTCTACACAGGTGTCTCTTCTTCCGTGCTCTCCTTTCCTCAATAAACTTGTCATGTGCTGATGAATGGAGACATCTGCTGAATTCTTTCTTAAAGAAACCTAAGAATTTCATGCAAGAATCCCCATCACCTGAACCCCATCAATATCACTTTGAATGTATTACTTCCTCACTGATTCCTTGATCCCCTTCTTGGACATTCAAAAAAATTTTATTACAAGTAAGAGGGCTCTAAAGAAAATATAAAGCTTTTTAACGCTTATACAAACATATAAAACATTTTTTTCCATAATATAAGTGGGTTCTTTAAAGTAGGAAATAAAATATTTTGGGCTATAATTCCATACATTTATGAAACAGACACAATCACTTTGCTGATATGAAAGCTGTACTTGCATTAAAAAAAGAGTCAAAGTCAAAAAAACAAAGTATCGGCAACAATCAAATCAGAAAACTGTTGAATAGCATTTTAAGCAGCAAAAGAGATAAATTCTACTTAATCTAATACATTCATTTTTGAGACATTTAATCCATTATTTAGATATTTTTCAAAAGATAAAAACTAAAATCTCCATTGTTATTTACCTTATCTTTGGCCTCAGGCAGTGTGACTTCTCTAGGGTCTAAAAATGGTATTTCTCGAAAAGGTGGAACACATCTGACAATATCAGGTACATAGTGTGTGTGAAACAACGGTGGCATTGAGTATCTTCTTTCACCTGATAAAGGCACTATGTGGTTAACTATAGTTGGCTCTTGGTGGGGTGAATGGAAACGCTGTCGTTTACCATCTAGAGGAAGGTTTTTTTCATCGCTTAATCTCCTGAAAACAAGCAAGATACCTTAGTAATTAAAGATAAATACAATTTCCTCATAATAGAAAACAAGATATATAAATAGATGACAACACTGACTCTTTCAGCAAGGTTACATTATTAGCGCTCTATGATCTTAAAACATTCAATTTTAGCACAAGAGTGCTAAACACCTCAACACTTTAGGAAAAATGAGTAGTAATAATATGTATTAAAAAGAAAAACACATATACATGAGGATTAGTTTCCTGTATTTCAACTATCCCAGTGTTTCCCCTTGCCAGTGAAACATTGTTGGAAAACATATATGTATGTATGTATATACAACGATATGTATGTATATACAACGATATGTATGTATATACAACAATATGTATGTATATATGTGTGTGTGTATATGGATCACTAAAATAAAAAGCCAAACTCAAAATAAGGAGGAGCTTAAGTTAACTGTAATATATATAAGACACTATGAGCCTATATTCTGGTTCTTCAGTAGAAAAGATCACATTAGGAGATATTTATTTTTCAATAAGCTACAAAGACACTGGACAACTGAGGAAATTTGAAAAGGTAATGTGTTTCAGATACATTGGTATTATATATTAGTGTTACAGAAGTGTTAAATTTTTTTAGCATGATCAATGTATTTAGGTTGTAAAGGAGAATTATCCTTCTTGGTACTTCTATGTGACTATAACAGTTCATCTCTCCTATACTGACAAAAATAACAAGCTCAGGTAAATGTGTATAGTTATGATGGAAATATAGTAATATTCTCTAAACAAAAATAACTGAAAGCTGTATATACTGAGTATCTTCTACTGACTCAGAGCCATTTTTAGTTTTAAAAACATGTATAACTACAAAGTAATAGAATTTATTTTCTTGTGTGAGAAACAAACTGGCTATGAAGGCTATCTAAAAAAATATTAAAAATCCAAATAAAATGAATACTTTTAGCATCATTATACAGTTCTGTACAATGACAACTATGTAAAAACAATACATAATATAGTACTTCTAATTATAGGTTGTAGAGCCAGAAGGTCTGGTCCAGATATGCTATTTCTACCTGAAAAACTAGCTGCTTAACCTCAATGGGCTTCAGTTTTCTACTCAAAACAGAAGAGGGGTAATGCATAGTAGGGATAACTACCTCATAAAGTATTATAAAATTCAACCAAATCGTTATTTGTGAAGTCCTTTATATATCTACTACATAGTTGATCAATAATTCTTAGGAGTTTTTTTGGCTTAATATCTCATTTTTTAATTACCAGCTTCTAATGTTTTTCTCATAGTATATCTATATAGGCTTTAAATAGCAGTATTTAAAAATATTGAAAAAACGTTAACAATCACCTCTAAAGTTCCATTACAATTACTTTGTGATATATCATTTTCTT